TCTAAAGTGCCCTCAAAATTATATTGCATTTACATATCATCTCTATAACTATAAAATATATCATTGTTCTTTCCATGTGCTCCCTTAGTTATATTACAGTTACGTATTGGTTTGCTGGGGTGTATATAAAAACAATAAAATTGTAATCATAAAAGTGCAGTTTCACATAAAAATCGAATATTATCGACTCGTAAATATATTTACAGAAACCTTATAATCTTTTTTAAATTTTACATTATTATGTGGAACAGCTGATATACATATATATACACTCTTTCAATTTACCTCTTCGATATGTCTATCTTGACAGAAATAATCTCGGGCAATTCGGCGCCACTATGCGCAGCGCGCCAGCGCGCACGTATCGTCGATCCCGCGGAAACCAACGCTGGAGTACGGGGGGGGAGAGAAGCGGCCAGTCTCGGTGCGCAGCCGCGAGCGCGCGCACACCTCCGTCGGCGGGCCAATCGACGTCGCGGAAACGCGGCGGCGTCGGCGGCGTCGCGCTAGTCGGGGGAGCGAAGCGCGTCGACGAATTCCGATCGACGCGGCGCGTTATATTTAAGCCGTCCGCGGATCCCGGTGCCCACGGTGTACGGTAACGTAAGTCGGAACGTGGTGTCCCCCGGCGAACGAAAATCAATATTTCCGTCGCGTCGCGAGGAGGCAGAGAGCACAGCGGCCGGTCGCCATTTGCCGTGCTATTACGCTCGCCCGTTCACCCACGTCTCGCGGGTCGCTCTCTCTCTCACGTCGACGGCGTCACGACGACGAGCCGGACGAGGCCGCAGCCGTCGTCATCACCCGTCAGTCGCGCCGCGTCGCTTCGTTCCGTGACTCTTGTGCTACTCCACGTTACGTACGTTTGCTGGACACGCGCACGTCGCATCGAGTGTACCGTGAGAAGAGAGCCAACGTCAGCTCGCATCAACCGAGGCAACAGCAACAGCAGCAGCAGCCGGCGGCGGTAACTCGTCAGGAACAGGAACTCCTCTATTTCCTGCGCATCGCACCGGCAGCTTCGCACGGGTACCGCTCGGCTCCGGCTTCCGCACCGAGATTCCCGACTCGATCTCTCGGTAGGTTCGATCTACCCCGAGCATCGTCGACGGCGAGTCGATCATCCGCGCGATTTTCGCGACCTGTCCTTCGCTCTCCCTCCTCTTCCTCCATCCTTTCCACTATCTCGTCCCTCTCTGTCGCTCCGCTCCGTCCGTCAACCTGAGGGAGAGCCAAGCGAGCCTCGGTGAGAAGGCGGTATCCCGTTCCGGTGGCGCGGAAGCCGCGTCGCCGACGGTCTCTCTCGCTCCCCAATAAATTCGCTCTTCCCTTCCTCCCCCTCCCTTCCTCCCCCTCGTCCTCCCTCTCTCGTCTGCCTTTCTTCTTTTCGTTGCCGCGCGCCGAAAACGATGGCGTTTCTGAGGAGCGTGCCGCGGCGATGCTGCAAGAAGCTGGTCAAGTGCGGCGCGCCGCCGTTGCCCGTGGTCGGCCTCCTGGAGAACGCCGCGGCGGCAACGGCGACGGCGACGGCGACGACGGCGACAGCGGCGGCGGTTACCAGGGCACCACCGCCGTTGCGGCTGGTTGCACAGGTGCGCGGGTACGTCACCTCCTCCTCCTCCTCTTCCTCCGCCGCCGCCGCCGCCACTGACATCGAGAAGCAACGACAGCAGAAACAATCGGCGGTACCTCGGCAGATCGACCCGCTCGATTTGAAGTTTAATGACCCGATCGCCGCATTCAAGAGCAAGACCACTATGGAGTTGATGCGCGCCTATGTCGTCTACCAGATGTGCTCCATCGAGTACATCGTGGAGAACAACATGAAGGTGAGAGAGAATCGTACATTTGTCTCGCTTGTGCACGATTTAGGGTTTGGTTTAACGTTTAACGTTGTTAGAACCTTGACTGAGCTTCGACCAATTCGATTAGCGGTTTATTCGTCAGACGATACGTGTCTGCAATAATTTATTAACATGGATAAAATTGTTTAATCTTTTTCGTCGCTTGTAGCAAAGAAAAATTGAAACGTAGAACTGTAGAAATTTTGCAAGTGAACAATTCCGCTGATTGAATTGATTTCCGATTAAGTCAGTCGAAGCTTGGCTAGTCACGATTGTCCGAAGCCGATCGAATGTCAATCGTTATTTGTCATCTGTCATAAAATTCTTTCTATTAAACGGAAGGAATCAAACTTAAAATATACCGTAATACGACCGAAGTTATTTTTCTTTATTCTGTGAAATAGAACGATGATCTATAAAGGGAATAATAAAACGCTATTTCAAAGATATAAATAGATTCAAAGATAATTAACTAACAATGTAATTACAATTAGTTGCATTTTTTCTCGTTTTTTCCTAATAGAGAGTCCTGCAGCTTATCTTCTTTTTAATAAACATTTATTATCTATTTCTACTCTTCTCACAGAGAGCATTAAAATACCAGAATTTAAATGACTGTCAGTCTTAAAGGCCATTTAAAAATGGTCATGTATAAAGCAGTAAGCGATACGCAATTTCCGGATAATAATCGATTTAGGAATAGCTAGAGTTTTTTCGACTTCAAGCCCGATAAACTTTTGACGATCTGGATTAATGAATTTAATTTATAACAGCCAACGCGCGCGCGTTTTTTTCCCCTGTGGAGATTGACGGCATTGACGGCACGCACCTGTCGCAGGTGCATCTCTATATATAGACATACATCCGACGAAAAAAAAGTGCAAATTTCATTTATCAAAAACTTCACCCAGCGACCCAATTAATTCTCCCCTGGTTCAATTTCCAAATATCGTAATACGTGTCGCGCGCAGCTCTAGATATACGCGCAAAAAAATCACGCGACGGTTTTACCTTACAATTAATTACCGCGTCGCTCGTTAATCTGACAGGACGCTAATTATTCAAGCATCTAAGCGGCGCGAATCCCGCGCGTACGTTATGACGTAATCAGTGAGGTAAACAGCCGAACGCGCGACGATATGAGTTAGCACTAACCTTGGTTAACATGTTATCTCATCTGATCATTACGTATCATCTCTCGGAAGGACGTTACTGTTAACGTGATTCCCGTAATCTGAAAAGCAGGTCAGAGCGGGTTGACGCTCCAAGGTCGATATTGCGGAGTATCGAGTCGAGGGGGGGTCTTGCGAATACCGGAACGGGCGCAACAATTCCCGTGAGAGTCGCTCGTATAGTGTCGCGATGGACCCTACCCTCTCCTCCCTCCTCCGGATTGCATTTCGTTTTTGCGGAAAAGGTCGATCCGAGCTTCCCCTTGGAGAAGTGGTGTATCCAAGTATCGATTACCAGTCTTTCCAGCCGCGTTCCTCGATTCTGCCTTGGCAGTCGGTCGATCGATAAATCTATCGCGACCGGCGGCGGAGATCGTGATAGCCGTGATCTTGAACTGATAACGCCGCTGGGGAAATCCTTCGAGAAAAAAAGAGAAGAACGTCTTTATTATTTTTTTTTTAAATATAATTCGCCACTCGCGAAGCTCCTTCGTTTTCTTCGCCGGAACTTACGTAACGTTTGCGCGATTTTCCCGTTAAGCCGCCCCGACGATGGTGCGGCACGACGCGACATTATTGATTTCGCTGTTGCCGGACACACGTTGGATCGACCTTAGGAATTTTGCCGTAAACCATCTGCGACCGTCGCCGCCGTTGGGCAATTACATAACCGCCGCGTCTAAGGATAGACGTGTAGTACGCTCTGGCGGAATCCAATCGCGATTTCCTTAATCCACTGAAAGAATCATCGATTCTTTCTGCACCATTACGATAATGCAGCAATTCCTGCAAATATATGCGCTGCTATAGTAACGACTTTGCTTAATTTGAATTACTATATTGACCAAATCGATTTGCTTAATTGGTCCAATTGCCAACGATTGTTGAAACGCTTGTCGACATTTCGTAGAATTACTAATTAAATATAAAATTATTACATAGTTTGTTTTTAGCTAAAATGAAAAACTTATCTCTTTTGCCTAGTGGTCTCTTATTCTTGTTAATTACGCCGTATAAAGATATTGACGTATTTCGCTTGTGTTGTCGACGAAGTAAAAATTGGCACGGAAAATTATCTTAAATACATATAAACATCCCGCGAGCGACAAATATCGTCCTGGCATTTATCTTAATTGCAGTTTGCAAATTATATGCAATTATAGAGAGAATACACTGTATATGTTGACTTGTTTTGCAAACGCTGTCGACGTGAAGACTTGGCACATAAAATTTCAAAAAGGCACTTCTAATTTGGGCAAATGTTTTCACAAAAACAAGAATACCTTTAAATATTTATTCTATATTTAGTTTCGTTTCACAATTGAATATTCAGCATACGTAACTGCGGAGAAATAAATAAGTGTAACTCGACGATTCGAGTTTTTTTTATCGCGCCCCAAGTAGTTAAGATGCAACAATGCGACGATCATTATCAGATATTTTACGCAACGTGGTCGTGCCTCTTTTTCTGAGAACCTTCCTTTTCGGAGACAAATCCGTATTACAGATTTTCCGCATTCCGCATTACGTCGTCATATTGCGAGATTACATCTTGGCGTCGCGTCGAGCGCCGCGAAACACACCTGTCCAGCTGTCGAACTTTACGTAACGTAAAATTCGTTACGTCCGTCGACCGCACGCAATCGCGCGCGGTAAATCATCCCGCCGGATGTGAGTGTTGCGCCGGTTTGTTTGATTAACGTCTCGGTCATTCGACGCGGCGGCATAATTCAGCGGTGCGACGTACTAATTGTAAAAAGTGTCACGTTTTTACGGTAAACGATCGGATATATGGGAAATATTTTTTTCTCCTTCGAAGACCGCGCGCGATTCCCGACGCGAGTCCGACGCGAACGCGAACTGTATTTCCCTTTTCTTCTTCTCGATATTCTTCCGTATCGATCGTTTCGATGTCGATTCTCTGTCAGTTCGTCGCGAGTCGCAATAATTCTCGTCGCAGACGAACGATGCGTCCGGCCTAGCCCGAGCGTATCCTTGATGGATTACGAGGAAGCTATAAATGCGACGTAAATAAAAAAATGTCACGAAAAAACAGGCTCGCGACAATTACGCCGAGCTGTGACAATTAGCGCGGCTTTGATTGTACCACGACAGTTTTATCACGCATAGTCTTCACGATTGGTCATGGATGTCGCGAGAGGCAAATCGCTTATTTTCATCTCGAAAATGATAAACAGTAAATATTGATTTTAAAAAATGGATTTAAAAAAGAAGAAAGATCTCTTCAAGCCGCAGAGCGTTCGTTGCAGTGAAGCTTTCTGTTCGAAAATTTTCTTTTCGATTTTGATAGTCAAAATCTAAATTTAGATTAAATGTGGTTGTAGGAAGGGATGCGTTTTTCGAGACACTTCGTTGATTCTGGATCCATAAGAAATCGTGTAAAGAGGTACTCACGTGTAGGCCTTCTCGCTGCTCTCGTGGATCACGAGCGAAAACTGTACGAGAACGTTGCAAAGTCGCGCATCGTTCGCCGACACCGGCACAACCCTGAGAACGTGACCTGACCTCGGGGGGGACGTTGGCTTTCTCGTTCTCGAACCAGACTCTGCTCAGACGGTGTGCCAGACCAGGTGGGCACCTCCCATGTGCTTTCCATAAATATTGCACACAACGGGCGCGCCAGCGGCACAAATCGGAAAATGATAATTCGATAAAAATTATTTTAAAAGTGATTAGTTTTAATGAGGATTCAAGTCGAAGATGAAATTAGCTATTATATATGAACAAACCTAATGTGATGTACAATTATCATGAGATTAATCTCTTTGAATGATCTCTTTTAATAAAATAGAACAGAATACTTATTTCCTTCAGCATACATATGAAGCCAGAAAGGAGACCTAGTTTAGTTTAGTAATTGAAATCTAATACATTCATCCATACCTTTATCTAATTCTCTTTAAAAAAATGTTAAAGTTTTCGAGCCTTGTTTGCACTCTTCAATTAGTATTGCGATTAGATTAAAAAACATTTATTTTTATTTGTTTTTTTTCCTCCCGTATATACCTCGTTATTGCATGACTGGTTATTTTCTTGCACACATGTAGTTATGTTTTCTAACGGAAAGAAGCGGTATGAGGTGCGTGTAAGATCGATATCGGGTCTTTGTGCGTTGCTACACTGAGAAACGGACTTATATACTGAAGGTGAGACTTTAGGATATGTTATTCTTAGAGTCGATTATAAGAAAAAAAAAACTAAGAGAGTTATATATGGTATTTGTTTTTATGTGGGCAAACAGAGTTTGATAGCATCGAATCTGAGGGCGATCGAATTGGCAACTCGCTGGAGGCCAAGCCATACATCCGTCTCTGATTACGTGGCTCTTATATCTCTCGCGAATTATTACGCTTTCGCGTTGCTCGCGTTATGCATCGCCCGGCGTCGCCGCGTCTGTTGCTCCCATTTTTCGCGCATTGATTGGATCTCCTCGGTCGCCTCCTCAAACTCGTTGGCATTCAGTCTTCGAGAAGCACTCTTTGTATACCTCACTTCACAGACTCCTCTTTTATATATCTTCCCATTCACAGCTATTGTCTAAATACAAAATTAAATTGCGCGTCTTGTCTCTTGGCTGACTCGCACAAAAATCGGAGAGCAGCTCCGATTCGTAAAGATGCATCGCGTCCGACACAAAGCGATCTTTCTCACTTCTTTACGCAAAATTGCTTGTTTCGCGATTCACGCGAATTAAGCCGACGAAACACTATTTTGCCAGATTTTTTCAAGACTAACATTGCACTGCCTTCGCATTGTGTGTTTGAAAAAAAATCGGCTGTCTCTGGCGCGGCAGTTGGGCAAACAGACTGACGGACTGGCGGTATTCCTTTCCTTCGGCCTCTCTTGGCCGCCTGCACGGTCGTTCTAGAAATTTCCGCACGTTCTTGACACACCCGAATTTCGGGTCAGCTCCTGGCGCACACATGTGAATCTTCCGGCTGGTATGACGTAGGAACGTCTCGAGAGCGGTCATATGTCGTGTCAATTACGCACACGTGTACTGGGGAGATCAACTGACCGCGATCGGTATACAAGTACAAGTAATCCCAAGGCTGTCCAGTTCGTCTGGCGCCTTCTTATGCGATCATGAAGGTCGAATGGACGGATGGATTGGCTTCCAGTCAATTCGATCCTATTGAATCGCTCGCCTAAATGCCAGCTTCCACACCTCTCGACTCTGCTGTAATATGTTCCGTTCTTATTCCCCTCCCCCCAATTGTGATTATTAAGATTTAACGTGAGATCCCACCGTTAATGGACAATAATAATCGACGAACAAAAAGTTACGCTCGTATTCCAATTTTTACAGACACTTTAAAGAATTTAAAAAAATATACAAAATTAAATTAGACTCATTGTCAGCCTCGAATCGCCAAGCAGATCATCCTTAGCTCTACATGTGTCTTTTAATAACCAGTGGAACTTGGAGTTTTGAATACTTAACAGGCTGAACATTTTTCTTTTTACCTTCTTCGTTGCAGCAAATTTTTGTATTCTTTTACATTGCAATAGTAATGAAGAATTATTTTGAATGGTATTATTCGTTGAATAGTATTAACGTATATCTGTCCAATTTTTATTTAGCGAAAAGAAAAAATGAATTCGCAAGTTTTCACTTGCGATGAAAATCAGCTTGAAAAATTAAAAAAGTTCAACTTGAAATCTACATTTTATATATTTTTATCAGCAATTAATATTTCTGTTTCCGATTAAAGATTACAGAGAATCAGTGCATGCGTCAGTGAATGTTTAGATTAAAATTGCCAGCAAAGGTTTAAGAATAGACTTTATCGATGTTGATCTCCGAAACGAATCGCTATATTATCGGCATTATTTCAAGTATACGCGTCAATTCTTATCTGTCGCAGGTTTTTTCCCCTGTTTATTTACACACACGTACACGGAGAGAATTTTATTTTAAATTTTACCCTAAAAATCATATTAATTATAGGACAACATAGTATTTCGACGATTTTTATATGATTCTCACTATTTTTTTTTAAATATATACTACAACAAATTTATTGTAGTGCACAGTAAAATTTATTGTAGTGTACAGTAAAATTTGTCGAAATACTATGTTGTCCCATTAACAAAATTTTCAGGATAAATTTTAAAAGGAAATTCTTTCCGTGTACAATAATACTCGTCTATCAATCGGACAAGATGGTCCGTCACTGTCCGATCTTTCCATTTAGTCGACGTCGCAGATGACTCGCCGGATCTGAACTTGCTATAAAAAAATGAGTTTGAGTCTCGCTAATAAATCGGAGATCACTGTGACGATACGAGAACGCTATTAAGAATACGATAAGGGATGCACTTGACTTTCTAGGTAGTTCGCGGCCAGCCGGGAATCTTTCTAGATCGATTGTCGGCTCGAATCGCAACCCGCGTATCGGCCACGTTCTCCAGTTGCATGACATCACGAGACGTAGATAATACAGTTCGACGAACCGCACGGCTGCCAAGAACTGCATTTATCATTGTCAAACCGTAATTACACAGGAATGTATTGTTCACGGTAGACATATAATATTTGAGATATAAATAGCCATGATGTATAGTAACTCAATAAATCGGTGGTAGAATAATACCTCTCGTTTGAATTTACCCCTGTCGACCATGCGAGTGGTCTCGAATTACTAATCGTAGTTGTATAACATCATTTTGGAACAAAGTGGCCGAAGATGCGAGCTGGTCCGAGCTGGTTTTTGGCACGCAGCAGCGATTCCGATTAATCTCGCGCGACTATACGTAACCGCGGCCGTGTCGATGACAAAGTCGACACTCGTAGTAGACCTCTTTAGATTCGCGGGAGGCCGAACAGCTGACAATGAGACGAATTCGCCGATCGGCGCAACTGCAATTCTGCTCGCAAGTGTTCAAGAGGACGGAATACAAGAATGTTAAACTCGAAATGCCAAAAAATTTTCACTGTTTCTACAATTAATTAATTAATTTTCTTGCTGTGGATCATGTCACTGCAACCATGTCACTGTTACCATAACAGTGACATTTTTCACTGTTTCTAATCAAGTGAAAATTTCACTTTATTAAAAGTTAAAACTTTTACATACAGTGAAAATCCTAAAATCGACCTTTCACTGTATGATAAAGTGACAATTTTTACTGCAAGGAATTTAGAGTGTACACAATTTGTAATTACGTATGCAGATAATTCCTCACCACGGCAGGCTTGTGCTGTTGTGTGTCGAGCGATTTGTACGGATACGCACTCTGTTTAGGCTTATCAATAGGTACATAACGTCGGCAAACGTTTCGGTGAGCTCCGGGAGACCCTCGAGTTTGACAAACATAACAATGACTTAAGTGGCAACGTTAAGTACATACGTATTGTCGTCTGTGTAACATGTATCGACCTGCCCATCTGTTTGTCTAGCACTTAAGAATCCGCATTTCCCGTTTGCGTTGAATTATCACTTTGATTACTGAACTATCTTGTTAATTAAACTTGGCGAGTATTTTGTGACTAATAAACGATTGAAACTTTTTTTCAACCTTTTTTTCAGTAGATTCTTATTGTGCAATTTATCAC